CAAATCACGTAGTAAAATAGAACAGCTCTGGGCAGTCAAGCTGTTACTCGCCGCCGTTTGAGCTACAAAGTGCCACAATCTATCTACTCGCTGCAAGTTTACATATGTTTGTATGTATGTACATGCAACGCTAAGCCGGCAACCCATCGCTAGTCGGTTCGAGGCTTGTATGTTTGGTCGGTGGCCATCGGTCAGGGTATTTAAGTGGGCCGCTTTGACTTCAATTAAAATGCAGTTGTCGGTAGTCGCTGGGTGTTTGTTGTTGTTACTTTTATGTTTTGGTTTAAGATTATGGGCTGTCAGTTTAGCATGTTATTTTGCTGTTTGTTTATTTGTATGCTGACTCGTTCATTGGAGTGGTCGGCCCGTCGGCTTGAAATCCGTTAAGTGCTCCTGCAGCTACTGCAACAACGTTGCTTAAACAATTTCCTTCTGCCACACTTTTGAGTGTCTTGTATATATATTATATATATGTATATATACATACTTGTTTACTCACCGACCCAACGTTTTGTTGCTTTCGGTGCTAAGCACTTGTAAAATGTTTGTCAGTTGGTTCGTTTGCGGTTAGTTTGCACTTAAGTACGTATAACTGTAAGTCAAGTCAAGTCTTGGTGGCAAGCGTGTGCTATTTAGAATTATGGTGGGCATATTCATATGTTTTTATATATGCACATATGTACAACCCGCAAAATTGAAAAAAATTAGTAAAAATAAAAAAAAAGTGAAAAATAAACTTGAGTTAGCAGTAAACTGGAATTTAACTGCACTCTAAGAAAAACGAACGCAGGAAAATAAACTGGTCGCGTGTCATACTTTTTGCAAAAAGGCACTAAAAATTTTTATACCTTTCATGAAAATGTATTTTTATACTCTTACAACATGTTGCTACAGAGTATAATTGTTTTGTAAATCACTAAAGCTACAATAATCAAATTTACCAAGGACAAATTCTATCAGATAACGGTTCCCATATAACCAATAATTAGCGCCAGAGAGACTAAATTTTACACTTAAGATTGTACAAGAGGGCTTTAGAGGAGCCAATGTTAAGTTAAGACAATGGGCGAGGCACCGCCCACATTAGGACAAAACCAATTCTCGGTATCTACTCGACCGATTTCAACCAAATTCGGCAGGTAATATTATCATGACCTTTTTATATTACAGTGCAAAAGTGGGCAAAATCGCACAAAAACCACGCCTCTTTTCCATATAACATAATTTCAAATTCCATCTGATTCTTTCACTTTCCAGTATACAAACCAAGAACCAATTAATGTATCCGGATGAATCTTTGCAAAAATAGTGCCTTTGATTTGTGCAATCTTGTGACCGAAAATTGTCAAAATCGGGCTCCAAATGTTCGAGCACCCAGCTACCGTATATGTGGACCACAGTTCCTGTTGCGATGTTTTTATCGAAAATATTGGTCAATATGTGAAATACATTATTAAAATTCGAAAAAATTCTTTTCCTGACGATATTATGCTTGTATGTCAAAAATGAATTTAACCGGATCAATACTACCTTTAGCCTCCATATATCTAATAGTCTAATAATCTAAAATTGAGTGAGCGTGTTTTTCCAATAATGGTGCATCTTCATGCCTAAAATAGGTAAATACGGGTGAAAACTTGCTATAACTCCTATGAGAGAGAGCATCATTTTCTGTTAGTAAAGCCAAAAGTAGATAAAATCAGGTCAAAACTATCCCTGTCCCCCATATACGTAATACGTAACGCTAGTTGCAAGAATATGAAATGTTTGGTTGCACCCGAACTTAGCCCTTCCTAACTTGTTTTTAATATCAAGTCTAGTAAAAAGAAATTTATTATTTTTTCAATAGATGGATTTAGTAATCTGTATTTCGCATTGTATAAGTGCGATTGGGTTATGCAATATGGCGTTAAAAAGATAGGATTTAATAGTAAAGAACCTCTGAGACAGTTTTCTAATTGCTTGGCTCAGCATTGTTCGAACACGCGTCAAAGATTAACGAAAGTGAATAGAAAATAAGTTATATTCTACAGTGTTTCTTTGATAAAGCTGAAAAGGCGGCTGAAAATGTGATAGCGTTGATGGTCCTGATACTGTAACAGCCAATTACAAGCAATTTTGGTTTCGTAGATTCCGTTCCGGTAATTTTATTGTCAAAGATACACCACGCTCTGGAAGAACAATTGTTTGGTGGGATTGGCAAGGAATCTGCTACTATGAGCTGCTCTCCTACGACCAAACTCTTAATCCGGACTTGCATTGTCAACAACTGGAGGGTCAGAAAAAAGTAATCGCTAGAAGAAGCCAGCCTTGATTAATAGAAGAGGAATTGTGTTCAATTTGGACAACGACAGTCCACAACACATCGATAGTGACCCGTCGGCAGCATGGTTGCCATGTTTTTTTGCATCCATCTTATAGCTTGGACCTGGAATCAAGTCAATACTACTTGTTCTTCTCTATGGCTTATAAAAATCGACTCTCCCAGCTTTTCGCCAATAAGGATGAGGGTTCTATGAGAGTGGTATTGTTAAATTACCTTCATAATGCCAACAAGTTATTGGATAATTTTAACTATGCTAAATAAAATCTTCAATTTATTGCAAATATAATAGATTTATTTTTAGTAGACCTTATTTTTCCAATTCAATATCTATTCGATATTTTTAGGTGTTATAAACAACAGTTAGGTTAATAAAACAATTATACTTTACGCAGCATATTGCGATAGTATAAAAATTCACCTTCTTCAAATAACAATGTCTGGTAAAGCCCCTTACAAAACTCCCTGTGGCCGCTTTGATAGAAGTACCATATTGTTGAGATCATTGTAGCATACTTGTTGAATATTGACTTTATATACACTATGATCTGAAAAAAAATAAGAAAGTTTTGGTAAAGCTATTGAATTTTGAGCTGAACTACTTAACCCGCGTAAATATTACACAACAATTTTAGCCTTCATTATTTGAAGGAAATACGGTTATGATTTATATCGGTGACCTGTTATGAGGAGTACAGATTCGGAGAATACGGTAGATGCAGAAGTAAATTGAAACAGTTTTGGTTTTATTGATTTGCATTTAGCTTTCGCATACCGAAAATTTCATAAATTCGACATAGGTATCCATATCAGTCCTTTGATATCTTTACAGTGCTAACCATGTAGATCAATTTCAGTTGACTGTCATCGAAAACCATTCATTGGTTTTTATAGGTTTTCGCCCGTACCAAGCTTTTTTAGACGACTGGATTTATTCATGTTCGGTGCTCCTAAATACTATATTCGACAAATTAATAAAGGGACCGTTTTGTGGTTTATAGTATACGAATACATGTGTGTTTTGAGGCCAAAGTCTACCTTCAGAACGTATATTGGGTGATTGTTTACTCATATGTCTTTCTAGCTTCAAAGAGTTTAATAATTATTAAGAGCTGTCACAGCTTTAGTGAGAGTCTTTTAAAGAGTTAAATTATGAAAAAGGTATCGGAAGATATATTGTCGAAAGAACACTTAACTTTCAAGTCAGTTTGAAAATGACAGGTCTAGCGAACCGCTGTCTATTCTAACGAAACAAAATTTTGCATGAAGGAAAGGTAGTGTATCATGCTGTATTAAGGATGACCATAATGAATTTCAGAAAGCCCCAAAAACTTTGAAAGATTAGCTTTTATTTCTTTAATGGTTAGACATACCTGTAGAAGTTCCGATATATTTATATTAATATAAATATATAAGTAGGTTAAAACAGCGATTAACGAATACATAATAATAAACAAACACACAATTTCCCAATTATTGTAAAAATATTTGGAATTTTCTTATCATTTGGCAACTCTACTTTTACTGATCAACTATTGCTCCGATAAACAAGAAAATAGCAATCAAATAGAGAATTAACCAAATATATGTGTCAAATGCAATTTGCATACGCTCCCAAAAATACAAAAAAAAAAGAAGAAAAACGTAGAAAAACAATAACAACATGTGCAGCTGTTAGGTCATTAAATAGAAAGCTGGAAATGCAAGCGGCAAGGCAACAAGTGGAAAAAGTTGTAAATGAAAATCAGACGCGCGCTCGAGCGCATTTCTTCAATGCAGTCACAGACGTGAAGTGAACTTGCCCGACGAGTTTCATGTCAACACAAACGCTTACAACAAAAACAATACAACAATATGTTAAAAAATGCCGCGCGATTGCAATGGAGATGGTGCGAATGCAATTGACGGCGGCAAAGTGTGGCGCGCCTGCGCGTATAACTGTGTATGCTAGGCAGATGACTTGCCTTTTGACATATATACGTGTGTGCATAAATGTGTGTGTGTATTGAAAATAGGTCTGTATAATATATATATATGATTGTAGTGTGCTTTCATAATACTTTTTGTCGCATTATCGCTGGTTTCTAGACTTTTTTCTTATTTAATAAGTTTATACCCAGAGCAGGGTATTTAAAGTTTTGTAAAACGTCAAAGACCCTATAAAGTATATATTCATATATATGTATACTTGTATATATATATATAAGTGATCAGCATGATAAGTAGATTGAATTTGGTCTTGTCCGTCTGTCTGTACATCTGTATATCTTCAGTTTTTGAGATATCGGTCTGAAATTTTACCCACGTCCTTTTTTTTCCAAGGAGCTGCTCATTTGTCGGAACTGCCAATATCAGGCCACCACAGCATATAGCTTCAAATCGTTCCACTATGGCTTATAGCTTTAATATAAGCTCGATTGCTCAAAATTAAGTTCTTGTAAGAAAATCTTATTTATTTGATGAGATATCTTGACGAAATACAAAGCAACGTTAACAACTTTCGAACAAATTTTTGACCGATCAAAATCAAATTCTTGTATGGAAATTGTATTATTTGTGAAGGGTATTTTATGTTTATTGTATGTTTTTATATTTCAATGCTCTAATGCAATATGCATTTCTAAGCGTTTTTCTTAATTTTCCTCATCGCACTACTTGTATTACTTGAATATTCTAGCACAACTGCCCAAAGTGAGCAACGCTGGCTGGACGCGGTCATATGAAGCAACATTGACACATACAAATAAACACTTGTGACATTGCAGCAGAAAATCAATAAACACCACAACAATAGCAGCAATAACAGCAAATACAGCAAGAACAGCATGCAGCATATGGCTGTGCTGGAAAAATTTAACGATGCCACATATTGTTGCAGAATGTGGAATCTGGAATAAAAATGCGCGCATAAATTACCGCCACAACGGCAGACATTGAAAAAAAGAGCAATAAATTTGTTCGCTGGAATTCGCAGCGACTACCAAATTGAGCGAACTGTGTAGCAAAGAAAAAAAAATAAAAATAAAAAGCAACAACAACACATTAAAGTGCAGTGCCAACTCTGATATAGCCGCAAGTTGCCGCGCATTTAGCATTGGAATGCTGGTAGTTTGCGTTAGCAGCTGTTGCGCTTGCTGTTGTTGTTGTTGGGGCAGTAACTTTACTGCAGCCGCAGTTAACGTGCGTGGCGCGCATTCGCCATTGACCGGAAAATCAACGTCAACATTATTGACGTGCGCAACATTTAATGGCAGCACTGCAAGCACAATACAACACATACATACTTTCCATACATAAACAACTATATAGGTATATAACGGCAGCTGCCGGTAGACGTTGCTAAGAGCGTGTCTTTTGGAGCCAGCCTGGGAACCAGCGTTAAGTGCGCTATGCTGCCCGGAACAAAAGTCACAGCCATAAGCTACGTCGTACGCATAAAAATAAAGCAAAGCAGAAAGCAATAACAACAAATAGCGTTGAAAAAATACAAAATTGAAAACTTGTATGTTTGAAAATTCAGCAGTTAAGTGCGTTGTCGCGCCTCCCATATCAACACAACCGCCTTCGCTGAGATGGAGGAGGATGTCTTAAATGCGCTGCAAACGCGCACGGCCTACTTGCCCGGCGGCTATGATCGCGCGGGCAAAATTATCATCGTTGTTAACATCATCAACGATTTACAATTGTGGAATCGCCGTTGTTTGGAGCTATCGATTGCCTACTTAAAAAGTGCGTTGAGGTGAGTGATTTGCGCCTTCTCTTTTTTCTTGGTTGAAAAATGTTCCCATATCAATTTAATTTGCTTATATAGTATACTCGTATATGCATATACATAAATACACACGTATGAAATATTAGACATGAGTTCCAAGACATGTGATAATACTTGAAAATTTAAAGCTTAGTGAAGTGTTTGTTTGAAACTTTCTTCCAATAAAGTGAAAAGAAAAAGTTTTGGTTTATACGCAGCTTAAGTTAGGTTAGGTTATACTGGCCGGCTGGCGCGCCGTACATAGACCTACTGGTACTTAGTAATGTCGGTTGAAAGTTCAGTTTAATTTGAGCTGAAGTATTCGTCGAACAGCACGTCAATCCGTTTTGCGAACTTAAAGAGCGACTTGATATCTAATTTTGATACTTCATTTATCCCCTTGAACTGCGAAGCTCCTAAATATCTAAGACGTAAGACTAAGTTCTTAAGGCTTTACAGCAGCAGATTAGGTTTCCAGCGTCTCTTTTATGCCTAATTCCCTTTCTACATGTATCGTCGCTACTAATGCCCATCCGGCTTGCAGGTGATGCTAGTAAGTTGTGACCTGTCATTAAACCAACAACCGTCTCCTGCAGTCCTTTCCAGACGGTGTGAGTGCTGCCTAAGTTAATCAAAAATTTTTTTCAGATTTTCCCAACTACTGTTTATCTCAAAAAATCTCAAGCAGTTAATATATAGCTGCAGTGTTTTTTTATTTAGGAAATATTCAATTTTTTTGTGCCACTGGTGAAGGGAATAAAAAGGTCTTTAGAGTATTATAAAAAAAATAAGAAAAGCACTACAAGTTGTGTGTGGATTCAGAAATTTCTTTTTAGTTCTCGATACAGCAATTCAAAACTAGGTAAATATAGTATTCTACAATAACGGATTTATAGTGTTTTAAAAGAATTTAAGAAGATGCTACCTGAGGACTCTCCTTTCAGAAATTTTAACCTAACTTTATAAATATGGTTTCGTAAATATTCTTCTTTAGATATTTTAATATGATGATTATTCTAAAACTTGAATATTACTAGAACTAGACTAAAAGATATATAATAGAAATAGTGTTTAGTAAGAAATAGCACGGCAAATTTGGGAACTTGGCCAACCTCTCTAACAAAAATGGTCGTCATCTTCACTAAGTACTTTTACTTCTTAGTGCGTAGAAATTATTTAAAATTTTGTCAGAATTTGATCTCTCAATAGACAATATCAAATATTTTAGTATATTTATGTTAATTTATTTCTAACGTAATTTTAATATTGGATATATAACTATATTCGTGCGGTATGTCAAAAGATAGCGTAAATGATTTATAGTATATTCAAAAGCAAGAAAATTGAATATGAGTTGAAGGCAAGAGACCTTGAAAGACGATTTTTCATGTCCGAAATGCTGCTTGAACGCTACAAAAACAAGTCGTTTTTGCATCGGACAACTCTAAACGAAAATCATACGTGAAACCTTGCCAACCAGCCATATCAACGGCAAAGCCGAATATTCATGACGTCAGGCCAATTCGCTGTGTTTAGTGCGATCAGAAAAGCGTGCTGAATGATGAGCTTCTAAAACCGTGTGAAACCATTAATAGGGAATAACTCATTAAATTGAAGCGAGTGATTGGCGACAAACGCTTGAAATTCGCGACTGAACATGAGCCAATAATTTTTTATCATGACAAAGCTTTGGCTATATGTTGCCAAAACAGAGGCTGGGAAGCGGCTGACTACCATTTGTTCTTCAACGTCCTTACAGGACTACGGTTCAGAAGAGGGTTTCAAAAATGAGCTAAATTCATTAATTCAGGCAATACTTTTGAATTATACTATTGTGCATGTTTTTCTTAAATAAAAATCTCTCAAATTTTGAAAAAAAAACACCGAAGAGTCGGGTATAAATAGGTCAGCGTACAAGAATTGTTGGTAAATTAGCAGAGAAAATAAATTCTTTATAAAAATCTTAATTATATACTTGTAAGAAGCAAATTCCCCGCCAATTTTCTTGTTTTCACATATATAATATATATGTATATATATATAATATACAGCATCAGTTAAACAATTTGATGTATTAAAAGAGTAAATTCAAAAATGCAAAACACAACTTTATTATTATTAAGTGTTGAAGTTTTGTTAGTTCATGACTTTCAAACTCAGAAGAGCTTCAGAAATGTTAATTAGCTGTTAATTGTAGATCTCGCAATGAAAAAATATACAAAACTTCTTTTTTTTTCAATTTGTGCTTAATTCTTGTAGCAACTACAATAATTACGATAAATGTTTTTTGTTTTACACTTTATACAATGATTGTTGCCTTTCTTTACTTTCAATAAGTAAATTGACAACATTCAGACTATTACTAATTTGCCGTAACACTAAACAGTAGTTGTGTTTAACGAAAAAGTGAAGCAACTCATTTTAGACTTCTACTTGTATACTAACTGAACATTTTCGGTCATCTTTATCTTGCAGCGCCGCCACTTTGCAACGCGGCGTCACCGTCATTGTGGACGCACAGAAGAGCACGACACGCATTACACGCACGCATGCGCGCATCATTTACGCACTATTCGATGAAATCACAGTCAATTTATTTCTAGTCAGAGCGGAGGGTTTTTGGGAGAAGCATGTGGACACGTGCACGAGCAAAACGCAGGCGAAGGGCGAGGTAAGTGCTAATGATTTAGTGTGAGAATAAAAAGTGTGTTTAACAATTGGAGAAAGTAGCTTAAAGCGGCAATAAAATGTTTGAATAATTCTAATGCTTTTAATTTTCGTTGCTTTATCAAAATTATTATAATACTTGTATACAAGGCTTTTAATTGCATAATTAATATTATGTAAATTTTTATTATTTGATTTTAATGTAATTTGTGTTTTTTGTTTCACATATTTCTAGCCTATTGTGCTCTCGAAGGCACGTTTGATAAAATACTTCGACCTCTCACAGTTGCCAGAGGAGTTGGGTGGCACTTTGTCATTTAACTATGATTTATGGCTGCAACAAAGAAAGGTACGACAGAAATTATGGTGCGTCGGTAAAAAATAATTTAATATTAATTTATGTGCATTAAATTTATTTGTAATATTTTTTGTGGCAGTAATAGAACGAAATTTTTAGGTAAAAATTTTAATTTTATAAAAATTATAAGGGCAACTTTATTTATGCATTATGTTAATGGAATGATAAATTATTTATACTTTAATTGGTTTATATTATGGAATTACATATACATATATTAGGGTGTACATATTTTTTTGATATGAAAAAAAAAACTTAACAAAACCATGAAAGTGGTTTTGGTGGTTGAAAAAATTTAATAATACAAGGCAACTATGAAATCTGAACGTGACATAAAAAAACTATTGTAATTTTTAGCAACAAAATTTAATATTGAAACTTTTGTCGATTTATGGCTTTTGTATTTATGCATTATGTAAATCAACTTATAATTTATAAAGCATATATACATACATTAAAAAACGATTATACTCTGGATTGCTAAGCTGAAGAGTCATCTCTATGTCTGCTTGCCGAACTTAGCTAGACGGATTTTCCTTATGCGAATAATGTTACTAGAAGTTACTAAGTGGCATCGGAAATACTAAAAAAAGGTAGTGAAACGTCTTACCTTAATTCTGTAGGAGAGACTTAGTGGTTAAAGGGGAGATTGTGAGGTAAATTTTTGGTGAAGAACTTTATTAAATTATAAATTTGGTCCATCTGGCATTTTAAGACTAATTGCTATTACTAAGCCTTTAATAATATAAATCACCCAGAATTTTAATACATTGGCTTAAATTTAAGTTAATTTCGAATATTTTCTTTTGTACTTATTACTACACTTAGTAGTTTGGACATAACTGAATATTTTTTATATCTTTTTGGCTACCATTTGAAGAAGCTGCTATTGGCTCGATTGACTAAAACCAGGGGTATAAGAAGGTCAGATATTGACACCAGGCGCGTTGAGCAGAATAAGTTCTCAATCTGATCTAGTGCAATCTGAAGGTAGCTGGGGAGAAATATTTAGCTTGGCAACGCCAAAACAACGGTATGAGATAGGAGATCGAGAATATTAGAGATAACAATAGAACCCCACAACTTACATTAAGTACACAAACAGCTTCATTATTAGAAACAAGAGAAAAACGCCTTTTATCCCAGCAACAGAGTATATTTTCCTCTTGGTAATATGGGGATCACTCGCATTGTTCTCATGAAGGCTTTTAGTGCTGAAATTTATTCAGATTCTAAAATTAATTCAGTGAATTACCACTTATGTTAATGTAAACTAAAGTCACCTTTGTTTTAATGGACGCAATGAGAAAATATTTTTTTTAGATTTATCAATACTGTTTTTGAGACTTCTTACAAAAAGCCTACAAGTTTTCTATATTGTAAAATTATGCATAAAATTATGATAATTTGGTATCTAGAATATATAAAAATGCATCACATATACAAGTATACCTTATTCCCAACTATTTACGTAGAAATAAATGTCTGATTTTCACTTTACTTATTTTCTCACGCAGGCCATTGATGAGTTCCAAAAGACTTTCGATTCGACGCTTAGCAGCATGGAGAATCTGCACGTGGTGCTGCTGAATAATAAATCATTGCGGCCAACGGAAGCGGATGTTGAGTTGAAGAAGTGTGCACAGCTGCATACGAGCGTACAACAACAAATTGAAGTGGTCATCGAGTTGGGTAAGCTGATAAAAATGGGCTTAAGTAATGGGCTCTAAGCTCAAAGATGAACGTTTGAATTAAGTTGTTTTAATATTTACGAGCGAGTAAAGTGCTTAAATTAAGACATCAACTACGCAGCACACTAAATTAATTTAACATAAATGTAACATAAAACACATACTTTACATACTAGTTGTGTGAGAGTGTGCGTGAGTAAAAATTTGAGATAAATGATTATGACGCAATTAAAAATTCAAAACAAAGAAAGATGAAACAAAATAAAAAAAAAAATAGAAAATCAAGTGCTGGCACATAAGCATTGGGCTGTTTGAAGGTCCACTGTAAACAAGTTTGTCGCTTAAGTCTTTTGTTTCGCTGAGCAAGAGCGCAAATGCTTAGCAACAAAAGTAGTTTTTGACTTTGAATTAAATCTTTATTACTTAATAAAAAAGATAAATAATGAATTCATTTTATTTTCACCGCTATCTAATCTGTAGAAGTGTCTTAAGGTTTATGAAAAATTATGCGAGGAAGAAATTTCAATTTGCGACTTTGAAATGGTAAAAAGTGTGCAGTGTAGATGGAGAAGATATTGACATAAAGATGTATAATATTAATGAATATTTTTGCCAAATTTATGAACTTTTTTGCATAATGTTGCAATTAATTAATGAGCTGATGCGCTAGGCGTTTAAAGTGCATATAGAAGCATGTTTGCAAACTAGCTTAGTTTTATACCATGAACAGGGTTTGCCACGATTTTTGTTATACTTAGAAGGAAACGTCAGAGACCCCATTAAATATATGGTATATAAATGATCAGCGTGACGATCTGAGTCGATTTAGCCATGTTCATCAGTCTGTCTGTATATACGTGAACTAGTGCTTCAGTTTTTGAGATATCGATCTAAATTTTGCACACGTTATTTGCTCAAGAAGCTGTTTATTTGTCGGAACCGCCGATATCGGACCACTATAGCATATAGTTGCCATACTTGTCATACAAACAGAATGATCGGAATCAAGTCTTTACATGGAAAATTTTTTTATTTCACAAGATATCGTCACAAAATCTGGGGAAAATTTAAGTCTAAGGCAATAATGCAATCTCTGAAGAAATATGCATTTGTAATATGTATAATGCTATAAACCTATGCATATGTACTTTTGTTGTATAATTCTGCTATCCACCGTAACTTCACGCAATGAATTTATTTGCTTTATTCGCTCATCGCCAATTTACACTCGCTTTGTATGACAAACACGCTTGTGGCTACAACGAGGTGCTACGCAATGAAAGTGTAAAATATGCAAAATAAGTAAGCATTGAAGGAAATTGAAAGTGTTTCTACTTTACTTACTTTTTGGTTGTACAAATAATGGCAAAAAATAATTTGTTAGAAACTTTATTTCAGTGGCATTTGCCTATAGCTTTCTGCTGAGCTTTTAAGAGAACTTTGCGATAGAATGCATAAATGGTTTAATTTCTTCTGAAAAACTTCATTGCCAGATCGAAATATGAAAATAATAAAATAAAAATAATAATAACTAAACCATGGAATTTATAAACTAAATTAATCTTTCTATTTAAAAGACCAATACACTAGAAATTATGTTAAGCTAGTGAAGTTCGCGTTGAGCAATAAAAACACCAAAAAAATATTGTCTAATGATCTGTATTATTACTATGTTTTAATTGATTTGTCTTAAAATGTTTACAATCTTTAATTAAGTTGAGTTATTTCCGACTGATCTCGCATATACAGTTACAAACATATATTTCTCTTTAGTCCTAAAACGAAACAGCTAAATACATAAAATCTATAATACAGAAGTGATCATACTCATAACTTTTAGCCTTACCGCACTTATACCAATCGAAAAGTGATCAGCTTCCAAGGTTTTCCAAAATTTACCCCGGATCAGAAGAATGTTGTGATCGGCATAGTGCAGAGTTTTTGTGTGACCCTGTTGTTTAAAAATAGATCAAAACCGAAAAAAAAACTCAATAACTTGCGTTGCACTGTGTGCAGGGTATCTTCACAAATAAAAGACTGTAAGCTTTACAATCGGGGTAAAAAAAATTTAATTTTAAAGCAAAAATTTTTGATTAAAAAAATTTGTAACCCTCTTACAAGTAACCGCAACTCCTTGCAATATCAATAATCATACATTTTATCAGATGGAGAATAGAATTTTTTTCGAATATATTGACTCTAAGGAAATTTTGTTAGAAAAATAATTTTTCATATATAAGCATAATTAATCAGACGAGCTCAGATTATAATTCCGACTAATTTCTGCCTTGGGTTTCTTCTTCTTCCTTGTCCGATATTGAATCCATATATAAACGAGGACTTTCAACATTAGCCCCACTCGCTTGTAAAGTAAGTAAGTAAAGTAAATATCTTCTCAAATTACTTGCAATTCCTCAACCAAATAATAAAATAAAATTTAAGTTGTGTAATTTTAAACCGTGTAACGTTACAAGACAATGTAGAATTATCCAAAAAAATTAAAAATTATTAAATATGCATGAAATAGCTGTAGGAAAAATAGTTTGGGATTGAAAATCAATTGAATTTGCTTTGCTCACTTTCTTTACTTACATATATAAAAGCACGTTTTACATAACCTAAAACAAACAATATTTCGACACACTTGATGGCAGCATTAAATTTGCTACCGTAATTCACCTTTCACCTGCAATCGAAGCTAAATAGAAAGCGTTCAATGTTGAATAGACGTTTATGCGTTTAAAAATAGATAGAGATTGAAGAAAGTGAAGCGCGATTTAAAGTGGCTGCGAGGCCGAAGTAATCACGTAGAAAATGAAGTGGCCACTTAGGTTGATAGATAGAAAATAAGATGCCGAGAGCACTACTATATTTAAAAAGCAGAATTGAGCTCTAATATTTTGTTTCCTTCATGTTCTCTTCCAGGCAATCGCGTGCTGAATCGACTCGCTGAAGCTTATGCGCCACCAAGAGTGGCACCAACGCCTCAAATAATGTCCACTACTAACGTTTTAACATCAACTAATAACCACACAACAGCAATATCCTGCCATGAGTCACATATTAACAACCATAATGTTCAAACGCATATAAATGCCACCTGCGCCACAGCCAACACTCCCGCCACACGTCTGCCACTGCCGACGGATCTTCAATACGCACGCGCACGCATCGAACTCCTGCTCAACCAAATCGAACGCAAACAAACGGAAATACGTACCGCGTGGCTGGAACTCTTGCAGAGCATACGCGAGGCACGCGAACTCACACACCTGGAAGAGGGTGTCGCCTTCGTAACGAACTGGATACTACAGACTGCCGAACAGATGCTCAGCCGACAATATAGCATCGGCGGTGATGTGCACAGCTGTGAGACGCTACGCGCCGCACACGATGTACTCGAACTGGAATGCCGCGAAACGTATGGCTTCTATGCGGAATTATTGTATAAAATCGATGCATTCGGTGGAGTGAAGGACTCGCACGCATATAAGGATCTAATGTCACAATGTGATTTCATGCAATTTGTGTGTCGCTCATTCGCTACACGTCTGGAGCGGCGTCGGAATGTGTTGATCACATCGTTGCGGTTTTTTCGACTCGTCAGCGAATATTTCGATCGTACTACTGCGGTTTTCGAAACACTAGTCATGGGTAATAAAATAGCCGAGGAGAATTTTGTGGCGGCTGCGGAAACTTTGCAGCAACTGAAGGAGAGTCAGCTGAGTTTGGGTGAGTGTGAGAACGAGGGTAGCGCAACGAATGTATGTTTGTTTGATTGAGTAGTGTGTGGTTAATATAATATTGCACAGATATTTATCAGTATACTACAAAGCATACAGGTGTATGCATTCGGTTTGTGGTTTGTGTGGGAAATGACATTGAGGAAATTCGATATAACAATAAAGCATATTAGGCCTTGGCAACTGGCATAAAACAGCAGGTTACAAAGGTATTCATAAAATTCCTTTTTGCCAATACATCCAAATAGTTTACACACATTACTTTATGATCTGAAATTAAATTCGTCTATTTCTCTTAATTACTTCTGAAAGAAATATAATTCCAGTTGGTGGAGAGAATCCAAAATGTAGATCTCAACGTATCAATATCCAAAGTATAATTGATGTTTGATAGTTGCGTATAGTTGGTCCCTAAGTGAGGCACTTCATATATTTTTATACTCTCGCAACCTGTTGCTACAGAGTATAATAGTTTTGTTCACCTAACGGTTGTTTGTATCACCTAAAACTAATCGAGTTAGATATAGGGTTATATATATATAAATGATCAGGATGAAGAGACGAGTTGAAATCCGGGTGACTGTCTGTCCGTCCGTCCGTCTGTCCGTCCGTCTGTCCGTCTGTCCGTCCGTCCGTGCAAGCTCTAACTTGAGTAAAAATTGAGATATCTTTATGAAACTTGGTAGACATGTTTCATGGTACCGTGAGACGGTTGGTATTGCAGATGGGCGTAATCGGACCACTGCCACGCCCACAAAACGCCATTAATCAAAAACAAATAACTTGCCATAACTAAGCTCCGCAATAAGATACAAGACTGTTATTTGGTACACAGGATCACATTAGGGAGGGGCATCTGCAGTTAAAATTTTTTTTAAAAAAGTGGGCGTGGTCCCGCCTCTAATAGGTTTAATGAGCATATCTCCTAAACCGCTAATGCTATAATAACGAAATTCACTGGAAGCAAATATTTTTAGCACTTCTATTGACGGTGTGAAAATAGTTGAAATCGGGTGGCAACTCCGCCCACTCCCCATATAACGGTACTGTTAAAAACTACTAAAAGCGCGATAAATCAAGCACTAAACACGCCAGAGTCATTAAATTTTATCTCTGGGATGGTATGAGATGACTTTATAGGAACCGCGTTCAAAATTAGACAGTGGGCGTGGCACAGCCCACTTTTAGGTGAAAACCCATATCTTGAGATCTGCTTAACCGATTTCAACCAAATTCGGTGCATAACGTTCTTTTCATGTTTCTATGTCACAGTGCAAAAATGGGCGAAATCGGACTACAACCACGCCTACTTTCCATATAACACCATTTTAAATTCCATCTGATTATTTTACTTTCCACTATGCAAATCAGGCAACAATGACTGTATCGGGATAAAACTTTGCGTGAATAATGCGATTAAAGTATGCCACCTTGTGGCCAAAAATTGTCTAAATCGAACCAAAACTGTTTAAGCCCCTAAGTACTAAATATGTGGACCCCAGTGCCTATAGTTGACCTTCTACCGAAAATATCAGCAAATCCACAAAGAAATCTCAAACGAGTATACTATTTGACTTTGCGAGAGTATAAAATGTTCGGTTACATCCGAACTTAGCCCTTCCTTACTTGTGTTTTTCAATTTCTTTCTGACTTGGTCATATGGATTATTAAATTTACAATATATAATATCGATTTTTAAACAAAAATTCGCTCAGAAGAGAAGCACGGCGCTGGTCATTTTTGTATTGAATGCTGTATCAAAATTAGTAGATCTCTTGGATCTCTCATAAAGATAAAGAAGAATAGAATAAAGACTTGCACCATGTTAAGAAGTCGCAAAACTAAAAGTCTAATGTTGCAACAACCCATGTTGCTCTGAAGAAAGATATTTAGGCGAGTAAAGAGGCCACACAATAGATTATCTGATAATTTGAAAAGTTTTAAATATATTGAGATATCTTCGCAAATTTACAATGAAGAATGAAACAGCAGAAATTAGTATTAGGTGTTAGACGAGTTTATAGGTAATCTATCTAGAACTGATTTCGGTTCTTTTTTCAAAAAAAAAGGGCCAAAAAAGGTTGCGTGGTTTTGGTCAGATATGACCGTATGTGAATGATATATATACTATGAGTTAGAGGAATTACTCAAATTTAGTAAAGAGTGTCGCCCCAATAATCCATTTATTGAACTGAAACGTATAAATGCTAGTCTATTATATTCTTCTCTCTAGTTATCTCAATTTTTACAGCGTTTTTCGACAGAAATTCTTTAAACTTTCAGTTGTTTTGAAGAATATCATTTATATAAGTAGTGGTTGTAAATATAATATTAGCCTTATTCTTTTAGCTTAAGATGGTGAAACGCAATATTTCCAAAAAAATTGTCTAGCCATTATGACACTTTTCAAAAATTTTAAAACCAAATAGAGAAGTGTTTTACTGTTTTGTTTAGCCTAGTTTTAGGATAATGCCAATAGTTCGATTTAGCTTAAACAAGTTTATCTAGAGCGCCAAGAAAAATGTATTAGGGTGAACCAACAAGTAACCAATCGAATTCATGGGTTAAAATGAATCTATGCTATAGAAGAAATATCTCTGCAAGAAAATGTTTGAGCTCAATTATAAAAGGTATACCCTAATTTTCGAAGGGTTTGTGATAAAAATTTTTACATCACGGATTCTTGTAGAGTATAATATTTCCTAAAAGATCTACCGCAGTAGGATTTTATTTTCCAGTCCAAACTTCGTATTTAAAAGCTCTGAACAGTAGGAAAGAGGTTTAGGCTTACCCCAATATGTACCTATGCTAGAGTTAATCAAGATGGATAGACGAACGGCTCGACAGATGAAAAATAAATTAAATAATTAATTCGCCTTATCATTCCGTACGATATATATTTTATAAAAATTACATTAAAAAAAACAATTTTTTGAAAAAAGATAAAAATTTGCTGTTTACAAAAACGGTTTGGAGACATGAGCTTGAAAGGCTAAGCTTCCCCGCTCATTATTTAGTTTAATTACCACACGTGAGCTGTAGTGATTTCAACAGTTTTCTCACAATTCTGCAAATCAGGCCAAGTTGTAACATTTTCTTGCAAACAAAAAAAAAACCGTTACTTACAACAAAATGCACAATTTGCCGATAAAAATAAGTTGTACATAACTTTGTTAAGTACTTTTTGCGCACAAATTTCACTAAAAATATGCATGTTTCTTGTTTCTTTTTTTCATTTTCTTCTGCCCTTCATTCGCAATTTTCAACACAACATTTCACCGGTATCCAATTAATCGCCTAATTGTGTTGAACACACAAAAACGGAATTCGCAAAATCGGCACAAACAAATCGGCTGGCAGCCAACCTGGAACGCGAACTCGTTAAGGAGGGCGAAAAGCTCAGCGATATGCTGGCGATGCCGGTGAAAGATGCGCTTGGCCGTGACCTACACATCGACTACAGCGAAGATATCGGCAATGTGCGCGATATTTTGGACACGACGTTGGCGCGCCGCAACATCTTCGGCGACAGCGTTGAACTGCAGAAACTCACCTTGGAACAAATGACACACATTTACACATACGAACAGGACGGCCGTATGGCCATTAAATGGATGGAGGATTTGTACAATGTCATGATCAAGTGCCATTCGCACGTCGGTTGTAATATACACGAGATACAGGTGCAGAAGGATGAATTGCAGACATTTCAAGAAACTGGAAAGGTAAGTCGCGGACTATGTATGTATGCATGTATGGATGTGTGTGTGTGTGATAAGCACAGTAAGTGCAAAAAGTCATTCATCCAGTTGCTCATTGAGGGAATGTTGCTATGCATTTGTATATACGTACGAATGTATATGTATTTATATATTGTATATACATATATATTTCGGTATATTTGTGCGTGTGTTGGTAGCGCAAGCCGTCTGTGGGCAAGCTGTGTGGCAAGTTGCCGTTGGTGCTGGGAGTCACCGTGCGCTACTACCGCTCACTTTGTTTCGCTCTGTCGCTTTTTTAAATGAATTTGTTGTTGTTGTTGCTATTGTTGCTGTTTGCATGCAGTTAGGTGTTGTTAATGGTCAGCCGAATGCAAGCGATTTATCACAGTTTGTAATCATGTTTTGCATCCTGAGTTGTTGGTCATGTTTTGCTTTTGTTATTGTTGTGCCTGCTTTTGTTGTTGCTCTTGTTATTATTGTGGGTTTGTTATTGTTATGGTCAGTGAGTTAAAGCGGTCCAATTTCCGTTCATCACCGGTTTCTCTTCGACCGCTTTTGCTTACAAATATTTGTTGTTGTGTTTTTTTTGGTATTTTTTGCATTTGTGTCCCTCTTATTATGCAGAACCTGTTCATCGTAATTCTGGTTCTACACCCATCGCATCGATATGGTGAATGGTGTAATTTAGCGCAACAAAATAATTTGCTGTTTTCGCGTTTCGCTGTCGCCAATTTGATGCAGGGAAACTACGATGAGGCAGCAACGTTGTGACAGGGGTAGGTGGCATAACTAGCTTACATAGTACCGTTACTTGGTTATTAACCGCACACCTGTCACAGTTGATTTAGCAATGTGTATAATCAAAATGGGAGAATCGTAAATAACTTTGTAGATTTAACGGAAATTTAGCAATTTAGGTGTTAGTGATCTCATAATTGAGATTATGTGTTCCAAGAAACGTTAGAAAGTCTTTCTTACCGATATCGGCACTTCCGACAAATGAGGAGCTTCTTGGATAAATTTCAGAACGATAGCTCAGAAACTGAGGGATTAGTTTGCTTATATACAGACGGAGAGATGGACATGGTTAAATCGACTCAGCTCGTCATGCTGATCCGTTATATATATATATATTTTATAGAGTCCCCGACGTTTCCTTCTGGATGTAACAAACTTCGTGGCGAAGGGTATGAAAATAATCTCGTATAGTAATGAAAATTGCTGCTGATGCCAAAAAGAGACTTGCTGTCTGTTATCCGGACTTTGAACCAGGCGAAGTAACCATTCATTATTGGTTTGATAAATTCTGTACAAGCTTTACAAACACCTAAGACGATAAACGGTCTAAGGCATAAAAAAAGTACACTAAATGTTTTTGGATGACCGCAAAATTAAGTTCGTGGAGATAGCTACTCTAAAGATACTCTAAGATGTCAAAGAATGGCTTCGACAGAATGTTTATGGATGTATGAGTAAGAGAAAGATCTATGCGGAGTGAGTAGCGCGGGAGCTCATGATGTAAATAATGCACCATGTCTCAAAGCAATGAAAGTGACGGCAACATTTGAAACTCTGTGACTTTTTCCAGCTTTCAGACATTGAAAAATTTAAAGAAAATACACGCTGAAAAAAAATTTAGCGGCAATGAAGAGTTAGTTGCCTCAATGGCTTATATTAAAACAGATATGGTTTTTACTATAAAAATGGTATCGAAAAGTTGGCAACTCACTATAATCGGTGAAGCATTCAGCATGACTACAATCAATAATTAAATGGATTCTTGATTAAAAATTTGTGTTAATTTTTAAAAAGAAACGATTTTTTACTGCTAATTAGTTAAGTTCAAAATATTAAATATTCTATAAAAAAGTATAAAGTCAGTCTGTCATCTGACCATAGGAACCGCTAGCGAACGACCAATTGTTGAGTGCAGGTATAATCTGTGAGTCCTTAAGTTGGTTAAGACGATTAGATAATAAGTTCAATAACCTAACTGGATCCTTTTTAACATCTAGAGGCGGTCCACTCACTTTTAAAGTAAATTTCGAGTTAAACTCTTCTTTTGGTCTGAACTCTTCACATTTTTATAAAAACTATCTAGATCTAAAAAAAAAATTTTTTTTCCAAAAATTTCCTTTTTTTTATAATCTACACATTTGACCCTCAGGCTAAGCAAAAAAAACAACTTTTTTTTTTGCTCCACCCTAATAATTATACTAGATGGTTGAGGAGCTGAAAGTTAAGATGCTTTTCGAGAAAACTTTTAACAACAGGGGTCATGTTTGGCCATTGTTTTATGGAAGCCAATCAAACAGCGTGTGCTTAGAAACCCCTGTACTCGATAACAATATACATATGTTGTAAAGCGCAAAAAAATTGCCTAAAGCTCAAGGGAAAGACAAAAGACAAGTGATTTACTACCTTCTACGGATAAAAATGAAGCTAGACTGAAGCGAAGAGACGAGACTCTTGTGAGTATATTTTTGGGAAATATTACGATGCATTCAGAAATAAATTTAGAAAGTCACTAGCTAGTTTAATGCGAATGATCAGCGAGCTGCAAAGCGAACGCTTGCATTTGTGAATTATACTTACGCAATAGTTTATTATTTTTATTTTTTTTAATATATTTCTTGTTCTTAATTTAGTTCCTCATTTCCATTACTGTCTGATAAGAAGACACATTTCCAGCTGTCATTTCATTTATTCGCGTGCTACTGCTTCTCTTTCTTTTTGTTAAAATCACCTGTCCTACGCTGTCTACAAGAATTTATGTTAAGCAAACTTATGTACATATATATATAGATAAATACATACATATGCAATTTACATATCCTCTAACTATAGACGCACATACCTACATCTATTCTCCATTACAGAGCATCTACAACTATGGTTGTCAATTGCTGGAAGCTTCGCAGGCGCTGCGCATTTCCTGTCGTCTCGATGCAGAGGCAATACCACAACGCATGTCACAGCAATTGCGGCACACTTGGCACCGATTGCAGGCCATAAGCCAAGAGCATATGACACGTCTTCGTGTCTCAGCCGTTTTCCATCGCAGCGTCGAGGAGTACTGCCAACAGCTGCAGGAGCTGCGCTTATCGGTGCGCAATCTGAAGCAAACGCCGAACAGCAGCAGCGGCATCAGCAGCGAGTCGGATACACGCGCATCACCGCCAATCATTATCGGCGGTAGAGAAGCCGCGGACGAGACGGTGGAAAGAGGAGGCCGCGTTGGCGCAGAAGAAGAGATAACAACTCACAACATTGATGGCTATGCGGACAAATCGACAACGACGAGTGTCACAATGCCGACGGGGGGCGCAAGCGGTGCGGCGGCGCTACTGCGTGATCAGCTGCGTAAACATTTGGTGGTGCGCGAACAGCTGCTGCTCGAAGTGGGTCGCATGGTGCGGTTGGGCCGACTATTGAAAACCCGTTTGAAAGAACCATTCGTCTTGGATGCCGTTACGGGAATGAGGTGCGTATGTAATAATTTCAATTTTATCGCCAAATATCTGTATGTACATATATTTGTTGCTATGTTGGTTGGTGGCTTCAGCTGAGCTCGTTGGAGTGATAAATTTTAGTTGTAATGTTGAAACAGCTGTAGCAAATCGGGTTAGCGCGGCGTTCATACTAGTTATAACGGCTTCGAGTGTGAATTGTGACACTTTTTATTATACTAACTTCCTTGGTACGACCATGTTTTTAAGATGCTGAACTTCAATGAAGATACAGTGCATGGAAAACCATTTTATATGCTGCTTATCTTAAAGGCGATTACTTAGTATAGAATTTAGTTTCACGCCTCATTTCTTAGCACTCAAGTTAACCAAAATTCCACATGCGTTTTTTATAGCTTTTCAACAAGAAGTTCTTATTCTTAGTATGACAACCGGTTTCAACCAGAGACCCTACCATTAAGTAATACATACATACAAGCATATGTAGTAACTAGAAGTGGTTAAACAGTCGTGAATGAGTAGTCACAGTGTTGCCGCATGTTTGTGCCACCCACAGCGCGTGTTAAAGACAATTGACCGTCGGCTAAGCCAACCACTTTGTTTGTTGTTTTTGACGCGTGCTCAAATCGCTACCGTTCACATGTAGCCCGTGAAGTTGGGTGTGTCACTCTTGTAAATTAATCATAATTTCAGTTTTCTGGGCTATGCAAAGCGGGGCATGAAAAAAGTAGTAGCCTCAACTGTCCTCCACTCTAACCACCTCTTAATATTTTTTCTAGTGCATAACTGGTTTTCTAATCTGTTATTAATTAACTTGATTTGAAGTATAGAAAGAATGTTATTCTAATAATAACAGGAAAAAATCTGCTGAAGATTTGCAGAAAGCAACTTAAATATCAACAAAAAATTTTTATATTTTTAATTTGCAATTAAAGCGCCATTAATTTCTTGATTTTTATCTAAAATTTTCTTATTAATCAGTGTGTTCTTTTACCACTATCCCCATGGAACAAAATCTTTAGCTAATCTTTAGCCAAAAATTAAACACTCTTCCCTGTAAAAAATAATTATGCGAGTAAGTTTTAAAGAGATGACATCCGCATTACTCTCTTTAAGGTATAACTGGAATGAATTAGTCCTCAAGATATGGGTATCTTTAGGATACATTTAGGTACAATTAGTCTAAGTTAAAGAACTAGATATATAGACTAGTTCGTAAAAACTTGAATGATTATTCTCTTTTTGTAGCTTTGCGGGTACAAAGAGCCTAAAATAAGTATCTTCATGGAACATGCTCGAACAAAAGTGCACAATTCGTTCCATTAATCATATATTCCATTGTATTTGTTGTAGGTTTAGGTTGGAAATAGGCACACTAGGACCTTTTTTCCAGTTCTTATGTAAAGTCCAATGATTTAGGTTAATTTAGTATCGTCTATGTGCATCTAACAATGACATATAAATAGTTTCCACTCCCACAAATTCGGATCACTATTTGATTTCCTTCAATTATTTCTTTAGTCAAAACTTTCGACTTTTTGCCAGCTGTGAGCAGATCGAATATCGCCTCAATATAAATATGAAGTATACATATGATATTATATATTTATTTATATAATTGATCATCTGATTGGCGTCTTTAATACAAATTGTAAAGACCACACACGCTCAATGATTTCTTCTACATTTTTCTGTTTTGAGCAAAGGCAAATGAAATGCGTTCAAAACCTCAATTCGATTTCGATTATTATCGCTTTAGTCACCTTTGTCGGTGGCCTATCTAAAAAAGTGACATTTTTAGTGCCATATATTATATAACTTTACTTATACACATATATGTATATACATAAATTTACATACATACATAAGTATGCATGAAAGAATGCTCTCAATGAGTGTCTACAACATGTCTGCTTCCGCATGTTCTTCCCACATGCGTGTGCATCATTTACATATTTACATGATTTTCTTCTTTTACTTCCTTTAAACATTGAGTTCTGTTCCTCATTTCCAGCATTTAAACAAAGTCATTGTTCGTCGGCGCACGCAAATGAATTTATTATGAAGATATTGCATAATTTTTAAGAGCCATGTCAAGGCACTAATAAGAAACAATATATATAACAAACCCAGTGGGAAATTGATGAATTGGTTACAATTGATTGTTTTTAAACTCACATCGTCTAACTGATTTATTTGTTATTTTGATACCTTGAACAGGGTTTGCCATGAACACCTAGAAAAAAACGTCGAAGATTCTATAAAGCATACATAGTAACTCATTCGATTTAGCCATTTTCGTCTGGCTGTCGCAAGGGTCTAGCCCTTAGTGTTTGTGGTATTGATCTAAAATTTAGCACAAGTCATTTTTTTTTCAAGAAGCTGCTCATTAGACCGATCAAAATCCAGTTCTTGCATTCAATCGAATATATTTTTATATCGGACCACCATACAAACTGACTGAACAAAATCAAGATAAAGATTTTGTAATACGCTTTAATGCTATAAAAATACACCTGCTAAAGATTCGGCTATAGCTTCGGTGCAGCCAAAGTTAATGTTTTTTTTTTTATTTTCTCTCATTATTCCATTATAGTCTTGGCTAATTATTTTTAGCTGTCAATCTTAGAGATAATTGACTTTGGGGTTTTAGGCGTTAACACGGCTAAATTCTCAGAAGTTGAGATTTCATTTATGAAAGAGTTTTAAGGTTTTCAATACTAAACCTTTGAATCTCAAGATTTTATATGTGTATTGATCATAAGAAGCTTAATACATCTATCAACAATATGCTTTGAGCCTAACATAAATTTTTCGAGACGGTTATTACCAAATTCGGCTATCTCGTGCGGTTCGCCGAAAGTATGATAGCCGAGATGTTTCAACTTCAGTCTTGCAAAAGCTGGATAATGCAGGAGAAAGTGTCGGGATGTTTCCACCTCACTTTACTCGATACACACACAATTTTCGTCCGACAAGCGGTATACTTCTTTAAAATAAAACTTTATTTATTGTATTTAACTGTTTTAGGACATCTTAACACTTGATTGATGATTAAACCGGTCTCAAGGTAGAGGGAATCGTTTAGAACTTCGATATTATAAATTCCAAAAGCTGTGAGGGTGCTGATTTTTTTGAAAGTAATTTTTGCTATACTTCTTTATATTTTCTTTCCCATTGAATGTTTCGGAAAGATTCTTCGAAATAAAAGTTTTCAATACATTCAAGGGACTCGATTTCCTACTGGGTTTACATAGCTGTTATCTTATAAAAGGGTAGACATGTAAGATCGCCTATGGGGTTCTTTCCTACTAGACCTTCGTATTTAACATACCTCTCTTTTCACCTCCGTCACATTTAAAATGGGTTTGCTGTTATTGTTGCTCATTAGTAAACCATGCATACAACGCTTTAAGCATTAATTTGCGTTTATTGCACTTTTACGATGAGCTTCCACCAACGCTTAGAATGTAAATAAAGACTTTGCAAATGAGAACTACTGTAAAAATATAATATGTAAGTGTTTATGTTTGTGATAGAACAGTAGCCAGTCTGTCTGTAGGCTGAGGCTATTGACTACCTTTCAGACGCCAAACTGTTGATTATAGCGAAATTATGCTACGTGTACTGTTAATGTAATTAAATACAACTACGTGATTCGAAGTTATCTTTTGATTGAGTGTGAGAATGATTCTAAAATAAAAATGTATGAGCAATTAATAAACAGTAATATGTTGGGTGTATTTATAGCTGGAACAGGGCTGGTCGAAAAACAGTAGGGAAAATCCGATATAAATTGTTTGGAAGTCAGTTGGCGACGAATTCGAAGGCAATGACAGACATAAGAATTATAGAGAGAGTGTTCTTTTTGTTTTGAATCATTCTGAAGAAAAAGAAAACTCCCATAGGCGTACATAAAATTTAGTCATCGCTAACTAAATAAAAGGGAAGTTTTGTTTACTAAAATTTTTTTACTCTAAAAATTGCATGCCTCGTTGTTTGTCCGGGGTACACTCCTAAACTAAATTTAGCACACTGTGTGCAGCTTGCGCCCACTTAAAAGATAGAAAGGTTTGTATCTCAATTATACTAAAAAATGTAAATGTGTAAATTGAAAATTCATTATTTTTTCCCAGAGGATATATTTGTATCAATATTTTTCAAACTTAGACATCAATTTGAAGCCCTTGGATTCTTATACCGGCAAGAAACGTTTCGGTCTGTAAATAATATTTTCACTGACTTAAATAGTTTACTCTAATAATATTTAGTAAATACCATAGCCAAAGCAAGGCGTGGCCGTGGTCCACTAGTATCCATATATACAAGTATATACTTGTACAAGTATATACTTGTATATATATACTTGTATATATATATATATATTTATTAATAAATAAGTCAAATATCTAATAAGAATATGTCACTCTTCACCTTGTCCGCTTTCACAAAGCGTCTATAGCACAAGAACTATACCCAGCTAATGAATGAACGAAGTGAAAATCATTAAAACATTTTATTGTCCCATAATTACAAAACACATATATACATATATATGTAGTTTCGAGAAAAAATTCAAGAGAATCCCTGCAAGAACATCGACTATGCGAATACTCTCTGCCTAGGGCTTTTTATCGATTTAAATTTATTTTAGGGCACATTCATTTTCGATCAGTCGGCGAAACTTAGGAGGATGACATTGATATATATGAGATTTGAAAGCAGTGAATCGTGCTCTAGAAATTTTTTGATTATGGGTGAGTTTGTAAGACAGCTAAAGCTAAGATAAGCTAGAAAAGAAAAAAAAAGTTACATATAAACTTCTCAATGTTGAAGGTTTTTTCAAGCCAAAGTTTGTGTTAAATATAGGGATTGCTGAATATATACTATCGTCTAACTGATTTAACTGATTGTTTTAGCCATTTTTGGATGACGATGTTTTTGTATAAAAAACTTGGATGAGCTGAAACCATTTCACGGCAAAAGGATAATTCTGTGTCATAGTGCATCATCTTTTTTAATAACATTAAACATTAGAGGTATTAGAGTTTGGAAATAATATCAATTCTACAATTATAAAATAAAACACCAACGATCCATTCAACACCGGGTATCAATTTGTTTCTTAAGCAGACATATTTTCTGTAGAAAATGGTCTTTTTATAATGGAAATGTCAGATTTTTTTTTTCTTTCATGGTGGCAACTATTCTTTTTAAAAATATATAAATATTATATTGAATTTTTTTTTGAACATCTTTGGTTGGTTTGTTGAATAAGGAGGCGCGTGAGCGCCAGAACGCAGATATGCTATTTTAAGTTTTAGTATAACTTTTCATTCTTAGTGGGTCGTTTTAATAACATAAGTTTGTATGTTGGCATGTGTACTCGGGAAATTTATATTAACGATCGAATCATATATTATATTGAAGGAAACCGCAATTAGATAACATTATGCAAACAGAAACACATACACACATACATATATAGTTAAAGCTAAATACTATAGATATAGTGCGTCAGTACCGATATTCTTGGTTGATCTCACTTGGCTATAGTTTTGTGCAGCTGTTGGCAAAAACCACCAGAGAAAAAAAAAATAAAAATAAACTTAAAACGATTTTGGCTTTAAGCGATGTTAAGTAAATACATAACTATATAATATATATATCATATACATATATATATATATATATATATATATAAATATAAGAAACTAAAGGAAAGCGTCGGAAAAAACGCACGGGAAAACTGCTTTCACCCAAAATTCGCTTTTACTAAAATACAAAAACAAAACCCCAAAAGAAAAAATAAAATAATATACTAAAATAAAAATGTAAAAAAAACGCACAAGAAACGTCACATAATTTCAGCCATCCACGCGTCGCATGCACTCACCAACCAGCGGAAAAAAATAGAAAACTCAAATAAAATAGCAACAAAAATGCCAACGCACTCACTACCAGCCAGGAATACGCGTTTAATAATAAATATTTTTGAAAAATTTAGAGCTCGCCGAGGAGCAGTCTGACAGACAGACACAATAGGCAAGTTAGTATATTTTAGTGCGCGATCCAGCGTGGTTCTTCAATTCGTAAATGCGTTCGGGAATAAGAATTTACCGTTGTGTCGTACGCTAAGTCGTATAACCAGGCGTAAGAAGGTTTTAGGAAAACGAGCGGGAGCGTGACGAGGCTAACCTCTAAAAAGTTCCGGTTTCATAAAAATAAATAAATTACTTAAAAAAAAATCGGAGCTACCGGTGAAAATTTGTGCTTAAAAATAAAAATAATATACCGCAAAGAGCTTGAAAATAGTGGTCGTGAAAACGCATACAACATAATAAATCTTGCGAATATTTACTTAAAAATAGAAACGTTTTAATGCTCTTCAAATACTTCGCACAATTGTCAGTAAAAGCAGGCACATTTGGCAAGTAATATATTTATGAATATCACAAGTGAATAGCAGAAGACGAACTAAGAACGCTTGGGGCACACTTACGAAACGCGCTAACCGAAACTAACGACTTTTGGAACGAAAAAGATTTAGAAAAAAATTTAAAAAATCAAAAATTTAATATTATAAACGAAAATGTTCTCGCGATTTCGTAATTTATTTGCGAAAGCAAAAAGCGAAAAATCGCCCGAACCGGAAACGGAAACGGTAAATACGCAAAATGATAACGTACAGTCGAACGTCGGTCCCGAACAAACGAAAACTGAAAATTATTTTGAAGGCAATACTGAAAATGCAGCAGATACCGTTAACGCTGCAGAAGAACTCGGAAAATCTGAAGTAGAAGAGCAAGTTGCTGCGGGCGAGCAAAATAGCGCGTTCGACCAAAAAGTGGAGCTCGCGCAAATTACCCAGCCAAATGGGCATCAAAGTAATGGCAACGTGGTACATGAATTAAGTACCGTAACACTTAAAAATGACTCCACAGCAACGGAAGACACTTTGAATGCGTGTGACAACAAAAATAAAACAGAAGAATCTATAAATACGATTGAAAATGAAAAGACAGTGGCAGATGATGAAGCGAGCGGCGGTGAAGTAATAGGCGTTGCAGACGATAGGCAAGCGGACGAAAGAGTAGAGAATAACACAAATAACGGGAATGGGGTAGAAGCATTTGTCAGCGTTGATGAGCATCAAATTGAGGTCAACACTCAATCAGCTGAAGTTATTGAAAAGCCAAATGAGACTGCAACTGCAGCTGAGGAGAGCGTAAATGTGGTGAAGGCGGGTGAAATTAGTGCAGCTGCAGGCGCGGCTAATGAGTTAGGGCAGGTGGAAGTTGATGTAGCGTGTGTTAACGAAAATACTGCTTCACTAATTAGCGCTAATAATAGCGATAAGAATGGGGTTGAAGCACCAACTGATATAGTAAATGGAGATTTAGTGCAAACTTTAGTAGAACCAACTTTGAATCTGTCTAATTTGGTTGCTAATGAAAATGTTGAAATTGCTTCCAGCGTTACAGTTGATGAACTGGCAACGGATGCTTCCAGTTCGGCCGGCGATACGCAAACACAATCCTCCAGTCCGGTTGGCACGGTCGATAGTGCTAGCACCGCCGATTCCAATACCATTGTTATAAAACCGACGGGAAATAATGATATTGCTTGTGCGGCTATCTCACATAAGTTGCAGGAAATTGCTGAGGTGGCGGAATCGCTAGATGCTTCGATACGTGACGTGCAACAGGATGCGGAAGCGTTGGAGGTGAATGCGACCAACACCGCTGAGAAGAAGCGCGAGGCTATGCGAAGTTACAGTAGTGAGGTGAGTTAAAGCAGTGTATATTTAAAAATATTAATTTAAGTAAAAGGTATGGATGTATCAGAAGAAGTTTTTCCCCATATTTGAAGATTGAGTTTTGTCAACTTTTATCGTGAAATCTGTATTATACCGCTATGTGGAGATTGTTTTAACTATTTCTATTCTCACTTATGCAGATTAAATCCTCTTTTATTCAGTAAGTAGCTAATTGTAAGCTTGATGTGCTCTTAACCCTTAGCCGACGTTATTTTTAGACCCGTTTCCCTGAAACATGAATTTTAGAAGACTTCAATTCGAGAATCCATCTTCGCGGTTTTGGATATTTGGAGAGTAGCTGAATAAGTTTATGGGAAATGCAATGTCATAGCTATCATGTTCATCGGAGAAAAAAAGCTTCGATATTCTAGAAAACGCTGTCCTATTTTTTCTCTACTTCTGGGTCAGTGCAGAAGCCTTTGAAAATAGTAAAAAATTAAAAAATATTATAATAGCTATTTTTTTACATTTCTCGAGAAAATTTACCAAATGTAATGTATATATTGTATTTCTTATACCATCAGAAAGTAGAGATTTTAGCGAAGCAACTGTTTTCTGTTATTTTTAAATTAAGATATTTGAATACGAGAACTTTCGATTGAAACAAATTTTATCGGATATTATGTCAAAATAAAGTGGAAAAAAAAAATATTTTAAATCAAAGCAATTTACAATTTACATTATATTTATTTGGGACATAAAAAGGTTAGATTACCCCGAAATTAGTCAAAGAAAAAAATTGTTGGTAAAAGGTAAAAATAAAATAAAAAATAAAAAACGGGGTTATTTAAATTTTTCACATAAAATTTGAGCTTATATTAAAAAGATGTTAATAGAAAAGTTGTAGCCTCTTTTATTACCTACAACTTTGCCACATGACTTTTTTCCATAGGACTCGTAGATTTGCCGGAAATCGAGATAAGCTCTTCTAACCTTTGAAAATGCAACCAGCTCCTCCCCTTCCTCTTTCCGTCTTTAGATCGTCCGTAAATAAGTTTTTGTTCTCTTTGATTTTTGTTATTTAATTTTTATTTTCCAATGGGTTTCATCCTACTATGAGTTTTAGCTTTCCAAATAAACAAGATGACAGTTATAAATCTACTAAGTGTAACAAAAACTGCAAATTCCATTCAAAAATATCTATCTTAAGTTATTTCATGTATCGCTATATCACCATTCGGTCATTCGGTTCATAAAATGAGTACTTTAGAAATATCGAGGAGAGAGTTCTTCAACCTTTACAGCGATCGTATGGGTCTAACTTGATGCTCTAGTCATCACAGTGTCAAAGACGAGATGTTACAAAGTTTTGAGAATCAGGGGTATATTTTGAACTGAACGCCTACACTTTACAAGGCTGCAATTCAAAAACTATATAAAATATCGATTTAAATTTTTAGCATATTATTTTTAAAGGTATAAACTATCGAAATGAGATAGAAATCGATTTTTTTTAAATTTCACAGTAGGCGTGCTTTTTAAGTTTTAATACAGAGCCAGTCAAGGTGAAGCTCAGAAAATATTGTAAGAAATTAATTTACTTACTGGTAAAAGATAAAGTTGCACAGGTTAGGATATGGGTAGTATAAAAAAAATTGTATTACATAAAAGTAAAGGATAATAAGGCCTACTTACGAGTTAGCAAAAATTTTTGCAAATGATTTGGAGTTTGAAACTACCTACAAATTTTAAAATATGATTTTTCGGCAACTTCTAGAGGGTTATCATTAAATTGGTTTCGTTCCGATTGTTAAGGCTCCGAACGTACAAGCCAAAATGAGTTTGTTAGCAAAAAAAGTGTTGTCATTTTGTTGTGTTGTATTTTTAAGACAACGTTCCGAAAGCTCTTTTCTAAACTCATCTATAATTATTTATCTTATTCCATTCTTCCGCAGGACTGGCACTCACGCTCCACCGAGGACGACTCCTTCGTTACCGCCTCCGAGGGTAATTTTACGCCACACTCGCATTCGTCGTCATACCAAACGGCGTCGGGACGCACTTCCTCGTTTATCAGTTGCGATAAAAGCTCATTTGATGTGAGCGAAGCGGATGACTCCACCTTTGCATCGACATTTGAAATACCCGTTGACATTAATATGTCTTACGATGGCACCGAACATAGCTTTGTGTCCGCACAACAGCAAGACTCTACACCCTCACCACAACAACAAGAACTACAACAACAAAACACACACGAATCACCTACTGATGGCGGCGCCTACGCTTTACCACCCACCAACGACGATGGCGACGGCAGCAGCATCGCCGACATTGAGGAACTGCACAGCCAAAGCGTGACACCGACACCGGGTGATGGCGATGTAGAGCACTATAACTTTCAAAGCATACCCATCGAGTCAGAATCCGATTTGGAATCATCTTGTATAGTCGATTCGCCATCGCTGCAGGTGTTGACGGAGGAGGTGTCGGTCACATCGGTGACGCCGGAGGTGAGCACGTGTTCTAGTACTGAGCCAAAGCAATTTCAAAAGCAAAAGCAACAGCTACTGCAGCAACCGCAAAACAATTATAACAATAACAATAACAGCAATACTAACAACAGCAACACTAGCAATACGAGTAACAATCAAAAACCGAATGCGGCCTGGCGTCGCAGCAAATATTATGAGAACATAACCAAGCAAACCATCAAGGGTTTTCTATAGGTGAAATGTGAGTGCGTGCGGGGGCGTTGGTGGCATCGGCAAAGCGACAATGCCAACGCCAACGCCAGGGGAACACAGCATAGAACAACAGCGCTTTGCATGCACGCACATACCCACATCACGGCACATACATATGTATATATATGTCTATGCATGTATGTAGAAATGTTTGAACACAATATCCGACCATATTTTTTTTAATTTATTTGCTTTGGCTAAATTAGTTTGTTATTTATTGGCTGATAGGCAGCAACTAACCATGAACTTAACCGCACTTTATTGTTTGCCTTGGCGAGGCTCAAGCAGTCGGAAATGACTACTCAACAAATAAGCATTTGTTTGTGTGTATGTATGTATTTTTTGGTTTTTGTATATTTTCGTTTGCTTTTTTACTTTACTTTTTTCGAAAAGTAGCTTAATCATAAATTTTAGAAAATGTCTACAGCAAGAGCATTGATGAAATTTACATAAATATTTTTGTTTATATGCATAAAATATATAAGTATGTTTGTTGAAAATTTAGAATTTATTTATTTTGGAAATTTTAAGCAAATACATTGTAGATTTTAAGTGCCAAATACATGCCTGGTTTGCTTCTGGCGTCATTTCGAGAGCGCAAAGTGTGAAAATATTAAAATTGTAATGAATACAAACAAAGAATATACGTACAAAAACACACACGCAAAAAAAATAAAATAAAACAAAAAAATACCTACAAACAGATATGCACACCAAGAAATGCCTGATAATGCAATTTTAATGCAACTAATTTTTTCTGATTACTTTACAGTTTAAATTGCTGATTACTTCAAATTTTGCGTTTACTAAATTTACCTTTGATTTCTTATTTATGCCGGAGAATTACACAATTTTATTTAACAAAAACAAGAAATATGTATAAATGTTATGCCGTTACATACTCTAGTGATAACTATTTATATAAAATTACTTCTTATTTAATTTATTATATTAATTAATTATAATTACTTATAATAATTACACTTCAATTATGCATATTTATATAAAAAATATATTTGATAAAACTTAGTCAATTTATATTTAAGAAATATGCTCACACAAAACGTATATATTGTTTTATAATAGTATAAATTAAATAATAAAAACAAATATTTTTTGAAAATAAATCATTATAATTATGCATGAAATAAATACAAAATTATACTAAAAAATATTTTTAAAAAAACATAAATATTTTAAAAATTTACTACCTAAACTGTTGATGCATTTAAAATTACTATTTTTATTTAACACATCTCTAAGGAATTTCAGCATATTATCGATTGTATTGCTTTATAACTGTATAGTGTCTGTTTTTTTTTGTTTTCGATTTTAAGGAGACAAAGCGAATACATTTGGGCAGTTAAAATGTATGTAAAAAACGATCAACAATTAAAAGATTTTAGTCAAGTAATCGAACATCAAATCGATTACATTCGATAATTTCTTAATATTGATATTATAAATATTTTATTGACGGTAATGAAAATTACAAAACCAACATCTAAAAGATTTTTGCCGATTAAACGAAAATAAATTCGATTATTTTCGATACTTCTTAAGATTGGTATTAGAAATATTCTAATGACATCTTAAGCATTGTAGCAACAACAACAAAAGCAATGGCAGCCAGCCGCGTTGTGAGCCGTTTTCCCTTGTCGAAAGTTTTGAAGCTGCTCCGCACTCGACTGAGAACAAAAGCGACAGAGGCTGATGCCGAAAAGGGCTTAAAATTACACACAAACATATATACGTATATGAATTGAACTGGCAAGCGAGTAGCGCGTCATCGCTGAGAGTTTCGCACACAAAGCTTAAACTTTGCCAATTGGTCCTTTTCACTCACGTGCGCCTTTTGCACACAGTTTTTATACTCTTGCAACATGTTGCTACAGAATATAATAGTTTTGTACACCTAATGATTGTTTGTATCACCTAAAACTAATTGAGTTAGATATAGGGTTATGTATATGTAAATGATCCGGGTGACCAGACGAGTTGAAATCCGAGCGACTGTCTGTCCAATTGGAGTTCACGTAATAAATCAACATTTAGAAGATTTTAGTCGATTAATCGAACATCAAATCGATAACTTTAGATAATTCTTTAATATTAATATTATAAATATTTTAATGAAAGTATTTAATGTTATCTAAATAACAAAGTAAAATGGAAAAATCGATAACTTTCGATATATTTCTTATATTGCTAAAAAAAGTTTATTTGTGTGTTTTTGTGAATGAAAGACATTAATTTAAAAATATACATGCAATTTCTGCATTTCAAGTCGATAACATTTTTCGGAATCTAATTGAATTTATCTCCTAAATTCTAGTGGTACCACCTTTTGTAGTTTCGAAAATATTTAATGCCATTCTTTAAATGGTACTGGAATACAGAATAGGTGTTGAAATGAAAATAATAATGAAATCGGAAGTTTTAAGTAATTGACAACATTTCTACTGTTTTAGAAAGTAATTATTTTCACTCTAAAAGCACTACGCATCATATGTTTTTACTTTCCTAATTGATCTGGAGCACAAAACATGAAATGAAATTCAGTTAATTCTGATTCTTACAAAGCTAGTCGATTAGATATGAGGAAACAATCTTAACTCCGATTGTTTAAAGGTGATAGACAAAAATACGAGAAATATGCATGATGTGTGAGGATAAATGTACTTGATGAAATTTCACGCTTGAGAACAAAAGTCTCTCTCAACTCTACAATTTAAGGATATTAGTACTCATTCTTACTTAATTGTAAAATGTACTAAGCAGACAATAGCAAAAAGTTTAAGTTTAACAAATCACCATCTCATACTAGAGAGTACTAGCGCTCTGGTAGTTGTGGCTTCAGAACTTTGTTGAAGAAAATTCAAAATTATTAAATAATGCATCTAACCAGTCAGGTTGGATTTGGAATGAAAAAAGTGTATCGTGAAGATCCATCTTTCATAGGAAAATATCATAACACTTAAAGAACCATCAACTCGTGGCAGGATATTTTAATTAGATATATGTATATGTGATTTTAGCATCAAGTGGCCCTTAAGTTCGTTATGCTTTACATAAGTAGACTTTAACACTGTATAAAAGTATCAAACGAAATTGCTTCAGAAGAACTACTAACAGTCTACTTCAACATTAATAACGCCAATATTAACTGGTTTTTTCAATATCACAAAATTTAGTCCGATTTAGATGTTATGTAATTAGGAACCATCTGTTAGGTCATTTAATTAAACAGTTTTTTACGGTGTATCTGCGCATTTATTGTAAATAAACATTCACTGGCATTACTGTGCATGGAAGTTTTGAGTTACCACGATCATTTTTTCTATTGCATACATTTAGGCGTTTTCTAAAGTCACTGTCGATATATTTCGATCGTTTCTGTTATGAACTCACTCCAGAGAACGTTTTATGATATACGTTCTCTAGTATAACGATTCCGTATAAAATCGTAACTGAACTGGATGAAAATCTTACTACTAAACTAATTTAATACTAAATCATAAATTTTTGATATATTTTGTTTAATTTTTTCCAAAACAGTGGCAACACTTGTAAATAAAATAGCGCAGGCAAGAAACTGACTTAAACATTCTTTGTCACGTTTATTTATTTAATAAATTTAATGGAAAAAATGTACAGGTGGCAACCTTTTCTTTTATAGTATACCTTGTTATAAACGACTTTATTGTAATTATTCATTTATCTATACATTTTTATAAATAACATTTTTGAAATAGGTGGCAACTCTTTTCAAAAATATTTTAAACTCTGAGCTTTCGAAACTTCTGCACATGAAACTCATTCTGTGGAGAATTTTAATGAAGATTTCTTTTGCTTGAAATTTACAAACAGATGGCAACGTTTTAACTTTTTGGTTTTAATTTTAAAGGGTATTACATCGCACACTAAAAAAAATTACTGAAATCAGTTTAACAATTACAACGGCCGCGCCATGTATGATGTAACGGAAATTTGTGGTATTACATGATATCATTGCATTCAATAAGTTTTTTTACCGCTTTTATTGCTAAGCTTCAGTTGAGTTTTGCATTGCTACAGTGTCTCGTAGATTTATTTTAATAATATTTCAAGTCAACCTTTCTCAATACGCACGCCGCCACTGTACGTCATATTACAAAAGCGGCGTTCATGTTGCAGCACAATGATCGCTTTCAATATTGTTATTGTTGTTATAAAACCACAAAGCTGCGGCATTTTTCAGCGCCATGCGCCTCATATTATTCTATATATTTATAGTTGTTGTTGTTGCTGCCGCATTGCAACACATCGTGACTGTTGCATCGAAGCATTAAAGCATAAAACGCCAAGGAGTAATGACGACCATCATTGTTGGTAAAAATAGCGGTGCGGTGGGTAGAGAATAATTTAAATACATTATCCATACATATCATATGTATGTACTTACATATATACTGTTATATATTATATATGCTGGACATATTAATAAGTACAAAAGAAGCACTTAAGTCACAAATGGAAGGCTAAGAAGGCATGAAAAAATATCGTCTCACGAACCCACCAATCGCCTAACCATGCACCACGCGTCGTCAGACTCGGCAACAACAAAAATCAGGCGATCATTAAAGGCTTAGAAATTCTGTTAACTGCACGTTTTGCTGACGGTTAGGAAAGGTGTGCGCGCGCTTATCATTTTGAGGGGTAGCCGTGGTGTGAAGAACATGTCTAAGCGCTGCAAATTTGCATACAAAGAAAAGGCTCATATGAGTGGCACTTGAGTGATGGGTCAAGTGATGAGCAGAAGGAAACGTGTCATTTGTTGTTGTTTTCTTTTTTTGCTTAATATTAGTTACATGTGTCCTTAGGTGTGAATGCTTCGAAGAACATTATATTTTCTATTTACCATACCTTATATAATATATACATACAGATATATGAAAGTATAGTTATACCTCTCGGAAACAATCGTGAGTGACTCTTTTTTTTATAAAGTAGTCAGTTTTATTAAATTTTTAGTTTGGCTGAACACACTTTTTCCAAGCTTCAAGGCTTCATCACATATTTGCAGTCATATAAATATTATAAAAGCAAGCTTGGTGTGTGAGAAATAATGATGAAAGTTGAGATTGTGTAAAGTGATTGCAAATTTTGAGTTACATTTTTTAGGTTACCTTACTTTCGTGATTATCGGAGAGAAGAAGAAGAAACAACTAAAATAGACACTATGTTTAACAACTGACAACTTCAAAATTTTGCTAACGTGACGTCAGGAAAGGCGCTAATATAAAGTCTACATGTAATCTATAATTTTGACAAGTTTCGCTTGAGGTGAATTTTTCATCAGCAAAATCAATCGATATAGACAGGTACAAGTAGTAATCACGGAGTATATATATGGTTGTATAAGAATCTCCAAACTAAGAACCCGGAAGCTCTAACGAGTCACTATCAATGGTCTGGTGGTGGTCGCTTCTGGCCAATTGCTTCCCTCAGACGCACCAATTGTTGACAGTATAGATCTGTATTGGCAGCTTGTATTAGATGATTCCCTGTTAATCCCACTTGTTTTTGTACCCAGGCTTAGTTAAACGGTTCCAAACGGATTTTTATGTTATGTTTAGCTCCTGGGCAATCGAAACAATGTTTCAATTTTGTGAAAAAAAAAACAATTTATTTAAGTCAATATTCGATTTTATGGAGAGGACTCTAACAACACTTGTGGTTTGTGGAACTCGTACCCATAAAATACACCTAAGCGTCCAGAAGATCCTATTAGTTAATTTACACCTTTTAAATAAAATCCGTTATCCTTTAGTATGTATTAAAAAAGTGTCATACAAATATTTTTTTATTCTGTGATAACTTGTCCATTAATTCATCCATTATTCCAACACCATCTCAAATGGAGGCCTTCGTCTAATCCTCAACCTTATATGAATGTGGAAAGGTCCTTTTCCGAACTAAGTTGCCCATACCATTGAAAGTAGGTTTTGTAGACGACAGCGATCTTTGAAAAGAAAAATATTCTAAGAAAGATCTTCTAGAAATTAGTCAAAACTAAATAAAGTTTAAAACCATAATTGCTCTCTACACGAAAACTCAATTGTTCTTTGAACATGCCGACGATCTCATAGTAAATTTGATACCATCTGATCAAA